GTAGGTGGAGGTAGAGCTGGCAAATCTCATGGCAATCAATAGTGTGAGAGGCCGATGCTCCCCAGGTCCTCACAGAGCACAAGAAGGGGTGGGCTCTCAGCGCTGCATGTTCCCCTAAATGTTCCTTCCCTCTTGAAGCCAGGCTCCCATCTAAGGGGCTCCTTTATATCTGCTGCACAGCTTGTTATTTCTAAGGTCGCTCCCAGCTCAGCTCACTGCTGTGGTCCACCCACGACTGGTGGGACCTGTAGGAAAATCATTCCAACAACCTCCTTTGTACACAGCTGCTGACAGCTCACTCTTGTCAGCTGAGGGCAGGGAGGGAGATGCCATGCACATGGCAAAGGAGGCACAGGCCTCCCCCTGCCTTGAGGACAAGGAGTCACACTGTGCTGGAAAGGTGGGGCTGTGGGAACCCTGTTTCAGGAGGGCCGGAGGGACCGGCAGAGAACTGCTGACCAGAAGGGCAAGGGTGAGGTGAGAAGATCCTGGGGACCCAGGGGCACTGAGAGTCATGGACTGGAAGTGGGGGATCCCAAACCCACACTGTGGATCTTATGACCAGATCCATACTCCCAGGTCAAGGGCTTCTGAGCAACCAGGGCCTGCCCATGCCATTGTTTCACTCCCCAGGATCGCTGACTTCTCTCCAGCGTTCATTTATGGCTCTCCAGCCGAATCTAACTAGCCTCTTACAGCATCTGCCAGCTGCTTTATCACACTCTTGCCAGCTTGGCAGTCTTGTGAACCCAAGTCCAACATGGACACCTGATGCCCTGCTACTGGAGACCAGGAGGGTGCTATTCACCCTCTGCTCTTGGGACTTGCAGACATGCCTCCTAAATCAGAGCCTGTGCAGGTTCCTTGGAGGGCCGCCCTCATGGTGGAAGGGAATTGCCTTCAGGGACAGAGCCCTGTGAAGTCAGCCTGGGATGAAGTTTCTGGTCTGTAGGCCCCTTTGGGGGTATGGCCAGCAGGCTTCCACATCCTCTATCCCTTGAGAGTGGATCTGGATTACAAGTAGAAGTTGCTCCGGATTCCTCTCTTTTGTCTGCTTCTGGTTACCTCCCACTGACCAAATTCTGCACCTGCTTCCACACCCAACCCCCTCCTCTCCTAGTGTGAGGGGGTGTCCCATAGCAATCACAGGGATAGCGGCAGGCCCGTTACTCACAACGTTCTCGGGAACCTCAGCCCATGGAAAGCACCTTCCTCAGCCGTTGCTGCTCAGGTCCTGCAAGAGGTCAGAAAGGAATCGGGTTAAAAAATAAAAGCAGGGTAATAGTTATGCTGAATAAAAACATGCAATTATATGAAATAAAAGCCTGTAAAGTTATAATCACTAAATTATGTACTACATTTCTGGTTTCCTATATAGCAATAAATAAATAGAGACTGTAATTTATAACTGTAGAGTAGGCAATTACTTCTTCCACATATTTCTTTTTTAATAAGCACATAAGCAGCAGTGCATTGTACCTCCCTGTGATTATAATGAAATGAACAAACATCTCTCAGGTTTTTGAGCACTTCTGAGGAAGCACCATCATTGTTCCTTCATGTTTTTATTGAACAGACATTTATGAAATAGGTACAGAATCTGGGGCAAGATGTGGGATATCCAGGAGCCAGGACAAGGGCCAGATGGCAAGGTGCAGGGGCTGGAACATGGGGTGGCTCAGATTTCCTGACACTTCACAGAAGGTTACCCCGTTATCTCTCTACTCTGAGTTCCACCTCTAGTCACGCCACATGGGTCATATGTTGTTCACGATGGCCCTGCCCTGATGGGGCTGTGGGAGGGGCCCAGAGCAGGTACCCCTTCAGTGGAAGTAAAGCTTCCCTTAGGAGGCAGCATTGAGGGAACATGGGTGAATGTGGCAGTGTTTTCCAAAAGTCAGGTCATGACCCAACCTAGAATTCCACTGTCATGTCTAAACGTGAACTGAACAGAATATGCCAAGTCCAGCTTGTCTTGATGTCTAGCTGGCTCCTCAGTCCATAGTCTTGTATCTGCCCAGCTTAGAGTCCTCTACTCTAGCAAGGCCACAGAGGGACATGCAAGCCTGCATGGCCCCTCTTAGGGATACCCCACTCCCTGAGCTATTGTCCCAGGTGCTGGCCCTGTGCAGGGAAGAGGAGAGCCCTGATTTTATAGCATTTGCTCATTTCTGTCATGCACATACCCCACCATAGTTGATTTCAAGTTGCCACTGGAAAACAAACAAACAAACAAAAACCATCAAATTCCTGAGAATATAACAATGTACTCACTAGCTACTATAAGCCAATATCAGTCTGTAGGTGCTAGTGTGAGCTGGCGGTGCCCAGAAGATTCTCACCCTCTGCAGAGCTCCCACTCTCTCCAGCATGTCCAATGCCTCAGTCCTGGGAGCCATCAGTTGGTCTTGGCCCTGTGCTAAGAACAGACCCTGTTCTAGAGCTAGTGAGCTGGGAAAGACCCTCAACCTCATTGCCTACCTCCCACCTGCTTCTTCCAAAGCAGAAATGTGGGCCTAGGAAAAAGCCTTGCAGTTTGTGGACAGCTGACATGAGCCTGTGTTCTCCTTGACAGAATCTCATGCCCTAATGCATGGACTATTGCTTTGGGCAGGGTAGTCAGGCCTGGCCAGGTGCTGCAGAGGGCAGTTCTATTAGCCTTCTGAGACCTGAGGCATCACAGAAGGCTCTGAACATTCCAGAACGTGCCAAATGATAGAAAGAAAAGATATTGAATCATGGAAGTTGTACTAAGCAATGAAATACAAGCAAACTGTCATTTGTGGCCAGATGGAGTTTTAGGTCACGGACCTTCAATATTTTACAAGGATGCTCTAGAAAGTCAGAAGAATTCAGCTGATTCCACAGAAATAAATTGGCCTCTCTGCCCCCAAGGGTTGTAGTCAATTGCTGGGGTGGATGCAAAGATGGGTCAGTTAAGGAGTGTCTTAGTCCACTTGGGCTGTCTAACAAAATACCTGAGACCGGGTAGTTTATAAACAACAGGCATTTATTACTCACAGTTCTGGTGACTGGAAATCGGAGATCAAGACACCAGTTAATTAGGTGCCTAGTGAGGGCTGGTTCCTCATAGATGGTGCCTTCTCTGTGTCCTCACGTGATAGAAAAGGGCAAATGAGCTCCCCAGACTCCTTTTTATAAGGGCACTAATCCTGATCCCAAGAACTCCGATTTCATAACCTAATCACCTCTTATTACCAACACGCTGGGGATTAGATCTCAATGTATAAATTTCAGAGAGACAGACATTCAGCCCGTAGCAGGGAAGTTTCACAGCCACAGTAGGTAAGAGCAATAATGTGTCCTGGGGGCACCTGATGCTCACCCAACCAGATCCTGAAGGGCAGGACAGGGTCAATCAAAACCTTTAAAATGCCAAATAACTTTTCTCAAGGATGGTTGAGATACCTGGGGTTTTGGCTGGAATTTTCAGTCTGGAAATTGTTCTAAGTGTCTGTTTTCTCCTTCTGAGAGAGGATGCTGCTGTTACATAAAACCTTGAGTGAGGGGAAGCATACACACAGAAAACCACGCACCAGCCAGTGGGTGTCTGGTACCTCACACGGCAGGGTGGACATAGTAGCCTCTCAGTGTGATCTGTCCTCCCAAGGGCTGCTCTTGAATTGTCCATCTTTTTTTTTTTTTTTTTTTT